CCTGAATCGGTAGTGTTCTATACGACGGTCCCAAGCACCCAAACATAGAGTAAGTTTGCCCTCTTTTCTGGCGCACAGCTATGTCCAATCTTATATGGTTTGCCCTCCCCAACACACACAAGAAAAAACAAGCGTCAAATGGATATGCATAGAAACTGCGATGGCAGTAGTATTGTAGGAATCCCGCTAGGGGATTCCAAGTTTTTTGCGTTATTTGACCCTACACCTTAGTGACCTTAGCGGTCCGCCAAATCTGGAGGCTTTAAACGTGGGACCTCTTTGTCAGGAACCGGAGGGCATACAAACACAAGGATCTTTCCCGAACTTACTGGCTCTTAGTAGGGAATTAGGGACTATAATCCCTAAAATATATTCCCTAAGAACCAGCAAACTGAACTTCAGCGTCTAGAAACCTTCCTATCTTTACCAACTATGAGCATGAGAACTGAGAATGGTTATGCTCATAGCGTTACCATTCTTAACAGACCCTAAAGCCCGAACCCTAAGGTTCCTGATCCCTGGACCTCCTCGGACGGCAGGAGCACTGAATGGAGGCCTGATGGCAGGGCCTGTTCCCGGAGGGTGCGGATGCCCTTGCCCCTGTCCCGGCCCTTGCGGTCTGATGCTGGGCCAGGGCCTCAATGGGGGGCTATATAGGGATCATAGGGTATATATTAGGGTTATATAGGGATAATGGAAAAATGGAAACTACAATTTAGGGTATAAGGTTTAGGTGTAACGGGGATAGCGTTGAGGCTGGAGACTCAATGGGGGAGGCTCCTTGATCATAAGCCGAAGTGTGCCTAGAATAAGTGTGGATAGACTTCGTTTTGAGAAATACCTCTGTCGCCCTAAACCCTTATAGTCCCCCTTAAGTAGATTGAATATGGGGGAACTGCGGGTCTTATTATGATATCTATCTACTTAATGGGGACTGTATCCCTTTCGGGCATGTTAGGTAGATCCTTAGGGATGCGAAAGTGGAGACGACATACGCTTCATGCTCACTGTCTGTAGGCTTGCCTTGGCAATAGACCTACATAGGGGGACCTTTATTTAGAACACCAAATACTATAAACCTTAATGTAGACCGGTGGTTAATAAACCCCGTCTCCTTAATAAGGATTATAATAGAAATCCTAATATTAAGGCCCTTAAACAGCAGGGATTTATCAATCACAGGTCTACATTATTATGGGGACCCCCAAAATGGTAGCCCTAAGTTTGGGAAACTCCCTCTGTTGGCAGTGTTCGTATGGGTTCTTACATGGGTAGGAAGCCTCCGAGTCATAGCCAGAGGAGATCCTACAGTCTCTGACACTTAGCAAAAGCAGAATACTGGCCTTGGGTTACTATAATGGGTTTGGGGCTTAGGGTCTAGCGTCTAGGGTTTAGAAGGAATTGAAAAATGGAAACTACTATAGTGGGTTTATATGGGGACTACGTACTATAAGGATCCATTGCTTCACTCCTAGCTAACCAGAGGCAAGAATAGCCACAACAAGACATGGGTCTCTCATGATATACCGATATACCCACCTGGGTTATTGCAGGATACTATGGCAGCGCGGAGATGGCTATAGGAATCGGTTACTTCGTTCCCTGCAAACAAAGGCCATATGTAGACCGTTCCCGTAAGAAGTTCTTGCGCAAACTAGCGGCGAGTCCTCAAGCCGGGAGGCTAGCAAGTTCTATGCGGATATGACGTTAGCGGTGTATATAATTCCCAGAAGTACACTGCTACCGAAAACCGCAAACATGCCAATCCCCAGACCCACCCCGTCTTTAAGCCATGATCCTATATAACCCCTACATGACCCTATACTAGTAGTAGTTTCCATTTACTTTCCATTATCTCAAAATAACCCCTATATAACCCCTATATAGTAGGAGCTTCCATTTTATTTTCCATTAGCCCAACATAATCCCTGTATAACCCCTATATAGTAGTAGCTTCCACTAACCCTAAACCCTCAACCCTAAACCCTAAGTCCCAATATAACCCGTATATAACCGCTATATAGTCATGGGTTCCCTTCAGGGACCCTAAGAGCTCTTGCTGAGGTGGGTGCGGCCTTGGCGCAGGCCGGGCTTCTGAGGATCATCACAGGGTTTAGGGCTTGAGGTTTTAGGGTTGAGGGCTTAGGGTTTAGGGTTGAGGGTTGAGGTTTTAGGATTTACGGTTGAGGGTTTAGGGTTGAGGGTTTAGGGTTTAAGTTTAGGGTTTAGGGTTGAGTGTTTAGGGGTTTACGGTTCAGGGTTTAGGGGTTCAGGGTTTAGGCTTTAGGGTTGAGGGTTTAGGA